CCAACACAGCAAAAGAATTGTAGCCGTTTGTATCAGCTTCACTTTCTTCGGACATTTCCAGCTCTGTGTGATGGTACTTGCAGAGTCATTTCTGGGTTGGGTACTTCTCTGCAATCTCTTCTGGGAGAACATATGTTTGGGAGCATCCTAACCATGTGCTTTAAATGTACAAAAATAGAATGGAAGAAGAAAGGAGCAGAGTCCCTTGGTAGAATCTCTTTAATGTCTTGCATCTGATGTTCAGATTGGTGGGGAGGATCACATGCCTGATGTTTTCTCTAGGACTACACCCAACTGGAAGCCATCCCTTGGCTTCTCTGCAGACAGCAGCATACCCAAATGGAACATATTAATTCTTTGGGGAAATCTCCTTAGTGGGACAAAAAAGGAATCTTTTCAGCTTCCCAGACACATGCTCTGTTCCCAGTACCATCAGACTTAAAGAAGGATCTGCACTACCTTGGTCTGGAGGACATAGTTTCATTGTAACTTAAAGGTTTAATATGGATAAATAACCTCTGTGATCCAGCTGCTCAACCGTCAGACTTTGACATGTTTATTAATGAAAACATGAGAAAAGAAAGAAGCAGTCAGCCAGGCAAGATGCCCCTGTAATTCTGCTGTCATCATTAGGTGAATATGGTATACCAAATATTTATGCTTCTATATGATTCAGGATCACAGAAAATAAATATCTTTCATATGTTTTATTTTCTTTGGAGAATGGAGTAGAGAAGAGTGTGAGTCATGGTGGAAGAATAAAATTCACTTTTCTGACAAAAACTACGCATTTTGTTGGAGAAGCATCCTAGAATTAACTTCTGTTTGCTGATAACACCTGCAGCCCAACTGGCCAGAAGCCAAATCATATTTCTTACTCCTGATGTGCATATGACAACAACTGTTCCTGCCTAGGTCTGAGTGCAAGCTGCCTGTACACCCGTGCAAAGGATTTCTGATGAGCAGAGGTTTGACTCTTTACACCGTAACAAATCCTGCCAGCTGCAGCCTGACTTGTGAGTGTAGGGCTGGCCTGAGGAATCTGGGAAGGTTAACATGAATATCTATTAGTGTATGACCAATGCTAGTTGTATGCTTAAAAAAAAAAAAAAAAAAAGAAACAAAACCCCCACATATTTTCTGTTATGTTCTGACTCAGAAGATTCTGTTCTTAGGCAACTGAGGAGCAAAGTGCTATAGTTATGGAGCCCTTGAGGAGTCAGTTGATGAATGACACCTCTTTCTTACACCTTGCTGTGCCCTCCAGAGTGTAGATGAGATGGGAAAGGAGCAAGATACAGGATCTAATGTATTTTTACTCCCAAGAGACTGGGAAAGGTCAGGAATTGCCCCTGCCTGTCCAACCATCCTCACTTTCCTGAGGTAAGAGAAGCCTGTTTATGGGGGAGAATTGAGCTTCACACTACTTTTGGGTAGAAAAAAGGGATGGAATTCAGTGCTTTTTGTAGGCTTTCTTTACAGCTGCCAACCTCAAAACATTATTCTAAAGGCAGTTATTCAGGAATATGCTGAAGCCTGAGAGGTTACAAACACCTGCCATCCTGGTGAAACGGAGTCCATATTTTAAAATGTATGTATATGATTCCTTATAGAACTTCTTAAGATAGAAAATTATCTGTCGCTTTTGTGAAGGAATTTACATGTGTGTTTTGTGTCACAAAGGAGTTCCTGCCAAGGTAGGACAAAGGTTAGAGAGGTCCTGTCTACACAAAGTCTAAAACAAAATGCCATGACGTTTTCCAGACATTAAACCACTCTTCTCTGACCAGAGATCTCATAGTAGTTATTCAAAAGAGGAGCAACTTTAAATGCCTATTTGTTAATGTAGAGTAAGACTGGGTTGGAGATTTAGTAACTAGAGGTCTATATGGTCCTCTCTGCAACTGAGAGACTTGTGATTGTCATCTTTTTGAAAGACCAAATAGTCTTGGCTGTTGTAACAAGGACTCTTAGGTCTTATTTTAGCCATGTGAATTCAGGTAATACTAAAAGCAGCAACAGAACAGTGCATTCTAAATGCTACCTCCAGTTACTATCCTTATAGCCTTCTCCTTAATTTAGCTGAGATTCCTATGTATCATTTCTGGAGAAATTTATGAATATGCTGCTATTTCCTGTTCAGTACTATTAAAGATGTTGTTAATAGCTATTCCTGGTGCTTTGTGTTGAAAGAACTTGCTCTCAGTATTTAATAATTTTACTAATGGTACCCAGTGTGGCTGGGAATTTTTATGTCAGACATATTTATTTGACAAAATTTTTGAAGAAACTGTGGCTAAACAATTTTTGCTGCTCCTAAGAATGAGATTAAGGGTCAAATGCATTGTTTTGCCCAAGTTATAAAAAAATTAGCTGACATCTTTACGCTTTCGAGCAAGGTCTTGAAATGTGGTAGACGTGTGGTAGATTTTCTCAATGTTCCCAATTATAAGACTTTCAAAAATCTCATTCTGCGTTAGCCTGGTTAGGTTTGTTAGTGCTCAGCAACTTGAGCTTCCAGAACTTTTGTCTGCACTGAACACACTCCATCCTCTGACTCCTGAGCATTGTCAATGCCATACTCCGTGGTGCTGCCACTTTATATGACATGAAGAAATAAAAAACAGAGCCTGACTTGAATTTGAGGAAATGTGAATGGAGAGGAGGAGGGCAAAAGCTCAAGCGGCTGGAAATTGGGAGGGTTCTCCATAGAATCCCTCCTTCTTTCAGTGTATAAGATATATGGTGCTGTGGGGACAGATCAAGATGCATATCAGCCACAGTTCTCACCACTTATCAGGATCCGTGCCACATGTGTTGCAGACATGGGGAAGTTTGGGAAGTATGTGTTGCTTCAGCCAATGAACATATAATTAGAGTGTCAGAAGGTATGTACATACAAAAGATAAAATGTGATTGCATAGGAGATCTTTATTCCTGGTATTGTTCCCTAACTTCGTGTAGATTAGCCTGTAAACATGTTCAGTCACTGTAGTGTCTAATGTAATTATTCATGTTGTACTTTGTGTGTTATATACTCATACATCAGGGAAGTATAGGAGAACGACCTAGATGAGAAGTAATGTGACCTCCCACCTCAAGGCCATGCCAGCTTGAACCTGTAGCAAGCTTGGTGGTTATTTGTTTTACCTATTATAAAAAACTCAAAGAGATGAAGACTCTTCAATTTTCCTAAATATTATATTTAAATTATTATCTATCCTTACTGTTAAAAGCTTTTTCCAGTGTGAACTACAGATTTCCTTCTGCAACTAGTACATGTCCTATCCACAGTGGAAATGCAGAACAGGTTATTTTTCTTCTTGCAACTATCACTTATGTATTCATGGGCTTTTATCATGGGTACTCTCATGTTATGTGAATCAAATAATTTCTCCACTTAGGTCACATATTTTAGAATTTTTTTCTTTCCTTTTTTTTTTCAAGTTTGTCTAGGTCCTTCTTCAAATGCAATGCTCAGTACTGGAATCCATGCTTCAGCAGAGGCCTACTAATAAGATGTAAAAAAAGGAGTATTTCACAAATTGCATCACTTTGCTTGCAGACATTCATGATGCAATTTCAGCTGACTCTATCTTTTTTTTCTAATGTAAAACAATATTTATTGAAATGCTGTATTTCCTGAAAAAGACTTTTTACTTAGTCCAATTTCTTCTTTACTCTGACTAACAAGTAAAAGGAAGTCTTTCCTAAAATTGAAATTACCTTTGAGGAAATCAGAACAAAATAAATTTTATAGAACACGGATCAAAATCAAAACTAAAGAAAAACCTAAGGAGTTGTTAAAATGTTATTAATATGCTTTTTTTCCCCCCAGAAAACCTTAATCTTTCAGCAAAAAAAACATGATCTCTTTGGCCCAAGTTGGTTAAATAATGAATAAATAAATACTGAACTAAGACATATAGTATTACACATGCGCAAAACTGATCTTCAGATTTTGACCAGTGTACACCAATTGGGGTTCCCTTGAGTTTATATGTTTGGAAATGAGCATACATTTGTGTGTTTGCCTTTTAATGTTAGTCATGTCCCCTTGAATTAGTGGAGTCATTACAGGGTCAGTTTTTCGCATTAGTGTAAAAGCCATCCTGACACCTTCCTTTCATAAAGTCAGCCTGAAAAGGCATCTGTGAGTGCAGAATGCAGGGTTTTATCTTCTCCTTCAACACATATTTAATGCTTTGAGTTTGGAGAAGAGCGAAAACAAAGCAAAAAAATATCCCCATGGAAGTTTGTCAAGGAAGGGGTTAAAAAAGTGGAATCTTTGTGACTGTGAAGGGCTGAATTATCTTCCTGACACCAGCAGGGGTTGCTGTCACTAGTTTGTGGTTGTCACATTCCTGTTATGCTTGACCTTGGAAAGGCTTGACAACATAGTCTGGATTTGATTAAGGGAATTTCATGTTTTTCCTTTGCTAGAGTCACCCCCCACCTCGACAAACATTTAAAAATGTTAAGAAGAAGAAAAAAAAAGTTTGGAAAGCAAACATTTTCCCAAAAGAAATTTATAGTTCAAATTTACACCAAGTTCACACTAACTGGAGCAGTCCGGGTTTCCACTCAGGCTTTGAGTGCTCTCTGTAAACCATTAGTCACTTCCCTGGAAGAGGCAGCTTTTTATAGGCAGCAGGATAAAACAGGCACAGATGTGTGTGTAATATTAGAGGCTTTCACATGTACCTGCTTTTTTTATTCCCTCAATGGTAGAAAACTAAAAAGAGTGACTTAGAAAGAAATTGATTGAAGCTTTGGACTTTGTTTGGTTTTGGACAGCTACCATGAAGATTGGTTTAAGTAAAAGAAAATACTTTGTGCTGTGGATTTTTGAGATTGTGGCAATTTATATCATGAAGATAGAAGTTGTGTTAATTTTTAACAGGTTGGGTTTTTTCACTCTGCAGGACTGTGATTATGCCAGCTGCCAATGAGTTTGATCCAGAGATTGTCCTGGTGTCAGCGGGATTCGATGCTGTGGAAGGCCATGACCCTCCGCTGGGCGGGTACAAAGTCACAGCTAAATGTAGGTATCATCATAAGGGGCATGTTTCTCAGTTGGTACTTTTTCCAGTTAGCTACCTTAATTTAAATCCAGCTTACGTCCATATTCCTATTTTGTGAGATGACACCTGTGTCATCGAGGGCAGGGACTGTCCATCAGTTAATACTGAGATGTCCATGGAGCTGCAGGTCTCGCCCAGCTCGCGGACACGAACGTGTTAGAAACACGTGGTGTGGAAACGAACGTGTTAGAATTTCTGGCTCACTCTCTTCTGTTCCTCTTGGAATTTTTGTCTTGGTTTTTTTAAAGTATTACTTTTTTGGCATTCAAATAACATTTTAGAGGTCTCATGCTTTACAATAGGCCCCATTTTCCAAATGCTGGAGCAAGTTTTTTCTCTTTAAATATGTATTGGAGATTTTAGACTTTGGAGGCCTAAGACAATCTCATATTGCTCTTTTGTTATTGTAATATTTTCAGCTCAATGGCATTAATCCTGAATTACATCAGTGTTCATGAAGGCCAAAATTTTCTAAAAGACTACTCTGTTGGGTCTCAATGTTTGGATGTCCATTTCAGTCCTCCAAAATGTGTGCTTATGGCAGAGATTTAATAGTTTCTCAAAGACAGGTCTGCCTGAGGTGTCTCACATGTAGCACTGAGAAGTCACTAGCTCTTATTGTGGCCAAACCAATTCTGAGCCTGGGATGTTAAGCGAGGCTGTGTAATGTACAGTAATGTGCACTGTAACGTTGCTATTTATAAATTGCTCTCCATGAAACAACACAAAATCGTTTCCCAATGCAATGCTGTGAATAATTTTCTTCAGTATATATACTTTTCTTCAGTATATCTCAAGAAATACCATAATAACACTTAAATATTTATTAAAAATGGATCTCTGCTGCTAATCACAAATGCCTTGGGAAAAGTCTGGAGAAGACAGTGAGACCTAATGGCATTTAACACACTACACAATTGAAATCAAACAGATGAAGGATTTTGTCCTTCTGACCTCTGCCTTTTGTTACAGGTCAGTAGAACGAAGTTGGTGCTTACCTCAGGAGGCACAGGGAAGAGACACCTTTTTTTTTTTTTTTTTTTACCTGCATGCTGCACAGGCTCCCCTGAATACCAATGATGAAAGGATAGATGGAGAGCTGACATGAGTGGCCATAGTAGCATGCTGTGTAAAGTGAGCCTGCAGAGAGCAGTGGAAGGACCTACCCAAAGACACTCACACAAGTGTTAATGCACAAGTGGATTGGAAAGGCAACATCCCTGTGGCTGCAAATAAGGCGTATTGAGTTTTAGCACAGATTTCAGGTTAATGCAGTGGTTGCACTAGAGAGGAAAGAAACAGCAGACTGTATGTGTATTTGAGTGTCACTTATCTTCGTATTATAATTTTTAGTAAGATATTGTGCATGAAGGAGCCCTTTGTAAGAGGTTTACTAATTATTTTTTTCCATAAGTATGGTTCCTGATCAGAGGCACCATTCCATGAGCTTTTGTGGTAGGGAGATGAACTTCCAACCAGTACAAATTACCTATTTTGTTGAAAAGCATTTTATAATTATCTGGTTTTGGCAGCTAAGAATGCATGTTACACGTCACATGCTCCAATAAGATGCTCTGGCATACGTGACGTTCTAGCATAATAGCTTCAGAAACTTAAGTAGAAATTGCAATTATATTCCTATTTTCCTCTCAGTTTAGACTGAATTTCATCCTGACAGCAGAGAAAAATTATTTGATATTGGAATCAGTGTTAGTTTTCATTCATGAAAAGAGTTAATTAACTCTTCAGAACTTTTTTTAAAAACCGATATCTTAGTATATTTTTTAATGTAAAAGGCTGCAACCTACAAGTTGCACATGTGTCTGTAAGCAAAAATAGGTGATTTACAGTAGGTGTCTCTTGTTTAAATTAAGGGGAAAGCCAAGATAGACCCAGATAATGATCATGCACCTGAGGGATGAATATAGCCTTTTGTACAGAGCCAAAGGAATTTATTATTTCCCCAAACCAAAATTCTCCACATTCCACCATACTATTTTAGAACATATCATACTATACGTGGTATGTAGAAAAATGGACAGCTTATTAAAAAAATAATAAAGTCCAAAGAGAAATATTCATATTAAAGACTAAAAATAAATATCCATGCAAATTTTTAATATAATTGATTTGTAATAATTAGAAATTATGCTCAAAATAAGTGAATGCAAAGGAAAGTTTAATCTGTAAATATTCCTTCTTTCTAAATCTTTAGCACTTTGCGTACACTTAATACATTGAATTTTCTGATTTCTATGATCCAATACACACTTTACAGGTATAAATTAGGAAAAGATTGCCATCAAAAGAAAGAATATGGGTCCTCAGCTACCAACCTTGCTGTTGAAGAGAGATAGGAAGAAACTAGATACTTGATAAGGAATTATTTATGTCTTTGCTTCACAGTACAGTCAAAGAGAAAAAAATTAAATGTATTAACCAAACAGAATTCCCAAGTCATAAAGTAAAAACCATGGGATTAGATATCAGATTGAACTAATTATAGCCCTGGAGTAACCTTATAGCAAGAACTTACGTGAAGAAAAAAATTGGTCTACTAAATCTACACAGTTTGGGAGGTGTAAATTACAACCTGCTTTAACCCAGCTTTTTTTTTTTTTTTTTTTTTTTTCTTCCTTGCCATTTTATACCAATTGGTGATAACTATGTTGACATGCAATCTGATTTATTGAGGAGTTGCCTCTTCTGACTAGTGAATAAACACACCAGCAACAAAATAGTTATATATATATATTTTTGCAGTTGATTTTAAATGCATGGATCTGATGTGCATGTCAAAATTTCTCACACTGAGGTGACCCTCAGCTCCTCTAGAAGCATGTTTGATGGAAGAAGGCCAACTGAGATCAGTGATGATAGAAGAGCTAGGAGATGTCTCACTGATCTCCAGTCCCATTAAGTAACAAAATCACTAATGGTCTTTTTCCACTGAAAAAATAGATGTTTTTTTAAAAAAGGATTGGAAAGGAAGTTTCATTCTTTCCTTTCTTATTGCACTTTTCAAATCACTTTCCATAAGTAGATCTTTGCCTCCAACAGCCTTTGCAATTTGTCCTTGTTTGTTGATTTTTTGAGGAAAAATATTTTCACTAAACTAATAAATATTTAACTAACTTTTACCTGTCCCCAAAACAGATTTCTTTTTGGAGCAATGCAAAATTGAGAATGAGCATTAACTAAAATGTTTCAACTCCTACTTTGAAAATTTCACAGGCACATTTTCTTTTTGTTTTGTTTTTTCTTATTCTTTGTTCCAATCCACTTTCTTAGTGACATGCTACCATTTCAGAAGGTAATGAACACATACACATCTTGAAACATACACTCAACCTATGTGCATAAACTTTGTGCTGGTTTTTATATTCTGTTAAGAAAAAGAAATGGTCTTCAAAGAGTTGACATGACTGGTGGCATATGGCAGAACTTTCTGCTGCTGGGAAGCTCTCAGGCATTTGGTACCAACTGTATTGCCAATATCTTAGTAAGAAAAGGCAAGTTTTATCAACAACAATGTTTATAAGACCATGTAGCGTAATTAGGAACAGTAGGTATGCTTTTGAATGCACAACCACTTTGTCCTGAATATCTTCCCCAAAAAAGGGGTTGTGCCTGAAAAGGTGTTTCTTTTTTCAAATATACCCTTTTTTTTTCTTATGAAGATATTACCTCCACTGACAAACTCTGCCTTGCCTATGTCCTTATGCTATGATAACTGCACCAGGTTTAACATCAAAAAGCAAAACAAGCGAGTCACAGGGTACACTAAACCTTTCTAGTAGTCCTCTTGGGCCAAGGTGTTGCAGAGTTATAGGTGCCAAATCCTGTTCAGGAGCTTCTCCATCTCCTGGTAGGGTCTGGTTCAAATTGTCAGGGATATTCAAGCAATTTATATCTGATTTTACTTTTTATGGCCCCTCTCTTATGACTCAAGCTTAACTTCATTAGCCAAAATAACAGAGTATCTTTCTTATTTCCAAGTCCACCTTTAGTATTGGCATAGCTCTGTCCATGTTGCTTGGTTAAACTGGTTCCCCAAGCTGTGTGGAGAAGGTGGATGCAGCAGCAGGCACTCTGACACACTACTGACTTATGCAGGGTAACTACTGATTCTCTGAGATCCTTTTGTTAGGATCAGGGACAATAAATGTGCTTTAATTTTACTGTAAAAGATAATCAGATAAGAGAAAAACATGCCTCAGTTCCTGAAAAGGATAATATTTCCTTTTTATTACTAGCAATGTATTTTTTTCTTCAATAAAGTAAAAGATAAAATATCACAACGATATATAATGTATTATAAAAACAGTGTATCAAATCCACTTTTTATACTGAAGTAGTAAAAATTGTATTGGCAATAAAGTATAAGAAAAATAATGGGGGAAGAAATATAGGGAATAAAGGGATTTTATATTTTAGAATAGTGAGGAGATGCCTAAAGAGTATGAATCCACTCCTCCATCTTACCCTGATGATGCTTAGGTGAAATTAATGAATATAAAGCTGATATACTCTGTATCTTACCTCACAGTTAATATTTACAACCTCTGCTAAAATGCATTGTATTATCACACCATTTGAATTTTGTACAGGGGACAGGTCTGAAAAAGAGCTGCCAGATCTGGTCATAAATCTGCAAGTTGTTAGATCTTGTAAGGGCACTGTTTTTAAATTTAGCTCTGCTGACTGAAGTTCTCCCTGTAACATTATCCTGAGGTGAAGGACTTTCTCTTTGGTTTATAGAGCAGCCCTTAGAATAATGCTTGCATTAAAGTCACTGAGATCACTTTACTGTTCAAGTAAATTTTGTACATAATTACTCATTAAATGGTGACCATTCCATATAAAGAATAAAGTAAATAGAAAGGTGTCAAGCAAGAGTGAAGATTTTTTTTTCAGGGTACTTACTTTCTGAAGCATTTAGTTTGTTAAGGTCTATGGT